AAAAATCTTCTATAATAAATATACATGCACACAAAGAGCAGCAGCAACCTTTAGCTTAAGACAGGGGTAGGCAACCGTGGCTCTTTTATGACTCGTGGACTTCAACTCCCAGAATTCCTGAGCCAGCCACGCTGAGGGGAAAGGGAGAGGTTTCCAAGCTGAGCCATGCTGGCTCAGGAATTCTGGGAGTTGAAGTCCATGAGTCATAAAGCGGCCTAGGCCTAGGCCAGAGGTAGGCAACCTTGGCTCTTTTATGACTGGTGGACTTCAACTCCCAGAATCCCTGAGCCAGCCACGCTGAGGGGAAAGGGAGAGGTTTCCAAGCTGAGCCATGCTGGCTCAGGAATTCTGGGAGTTGAAGTCCACGAGTCATAAAGCGGCCTAGGCCTAGGCCAGAGGTAGGCAACCTTGGCTCTTTTATGACTGGTGGACTTCAACTCCCAGAATTCCTGAGCCAGCCACGCTGAGGGGAAAGGGAGAGGTTTCCAAGCCGAGCCATGCTGGCTCAGGAATTCTGGGAGTTGAAGTCCACGAGTCATAAAAGAGCCAAGGTTGCCTACCCCTGGCTTAAGAGGTATAAACATGTGCTTTTCATTTTAAAGAAAGGAAAGACACGTAGTCCTTGACTTACAAACATAACTAAGCCGAAAATGTCTGTTAAGTGAGACAGTTATAAAGTGAGCTTTGCCCCATTTTACGACCTTTCCTGACACGGTTGTTAAGTGAATCTGGCTTCCCCATCGACTTTGCTTGCTAGAGGGTCGCAAAAGGGGATCACACAACCGACCCCAGGATACTACAACAGTCATAAACATGAGTCATTCTGAATTTTGATCACATGATCGCAAGTGTGAAAAAGGCTCTTAAGTCACATTTTTCGGTGCCATTGTAGCTTCAAATGGTCACTCAATGTTGTAAGTTGAGGACTATCTGGACTCCATAACATCTATTCAGCAGTTTTTTCAAATGTGATTGATTACTGCTCCCATCATCCCCAGCCGTCATGATTGGGGGTAAGACTGGTTACTGTAGCCCAAACGTTGACAGGACATAAATTTAGAGCAGGAAGATGCAGACTGCACACTATGCTGTATATTAATTTTAAATTTACTATATAAGAATATCACATTTTGCTGCAGATCCGAGTTTTTCAGATTTTTTGCCAGAAAAAAAATCCAGCTCAAAATTAAGCACTCACGGCTGTACGTTTTGACTGGCCTACAAATTCCCTCACCCATTTTTTTTTTCCTGTTACAGTATTCCCAAAACATCTGGTAAATTCACCTTGCTGAGCAGGATCCATTTTTCATTCTCCCAAACCCTCTCTTATACAATTGTTTTCAGAAAACTGCAGAACTGCAGAAACGAGGCAGCGAAAAAACAATAATTAAGCAGGTAGTTCTAACTACCAGATAAATTCTGAATTTATTCACTAGAATTATGACACCCGCAGATAGGCTGAAGTAGGCCAAAATGCATTTTATTCGTAAAGAATAAAACGAGGATCTATAGTCATAAACAATGTAAACCAGGAGTATCCAATCTTGGCAATTTTAAAGACTTGTGGACTTCAGTTCCCAAAATTCCCACTGTTGCCTCGGGAATTCTGGGAGCTGAAGCCCACAATTTTTAAAGTTGCCAAGACTGGACACCCCTGATGTAGACCCTTTATATATTTTAAGTTATCCTCTGCATTTTATAAAATTAAGAAAGTGCTCAAAAGGTTAATCCAGGAACAAGTAAGGAGGGCCTGCCAAACAACATCCAATCAGAAGACCCATATAAGTTTCTCTTAAGCTTATGTGTCAGGAATTCTGAGCTGGTTCCAAAATCCAGGATCTTGAATTATGGCTGTACTACGTAACTAGCCTGATTACTTTAGGCTGATTTCATTTGGAATTCAGTGCCGGCAATTGTCACCCTCCTTTCTATTTCCTGTATTTTTTCTTTTCCCAATTAAATTCTTTTAGTATTTGGGGGTTCTGGTTTAATTTATTTAAATCCAATGGATAGACTTCTCAGGAGGATCTTGGTATCAAACAGGGCTATTGCAGTAGAATCGACCTATCAGCATGTGCAGCCCAGCAAAATCTTATCAGCCAAGAATGTCAGGATCCACAATTTTTTTTTCCCCCAGTTAAGATCCAGTGCTAGTATAGAATAATCTCCTTTTCAAGGGCAGTTAACTGGCCTTGTCAGTGGCCTTCTGGAATTTGTAAAAAGAGAATATTTGGGGATTAAGAAGGGACTGTGACCTGCGTCTTCTTT